CTAAATCAATATAATTTAGTGTTTCTTGTGTCGCTACAGTGTAAACATTCTACACAAATCGTAGCTACCAATGAAATGACATTGATTCTTGTGTCGCTACAGTGTAAACATTCTACACAAATCGTAGCTACCAATGAAATGACATTGATTCTTGTGTCGCTACAGTGTAAACATTCTACACAAATCGTAGCTACCAATGAAATGATTTTTCTATCCACACAAAAGCTGCTTTACTATCCGTTAGTCATTTTGCAACAGTTCATTACTTTTACATTTTATGACATTTAATATGACAATATAATCTGATTTCTTTGAGCACCACTTTCGCTTTATATATGTATGTATGTTTAATTACCTTAATATGTGTACTTTTTATTTACATATTGAAATTTTGGGGCCCAAAAGGTTTAGCAAATAACGTATGCTAATATCAATTGGATGTGTTAGGCCTTGATGGACTCATTTGATGACGAGATATGGATGCAACTTAATGATGTTTGAAATATACCTATTGACTTTACTGAGGATTTTGTTTAGGTTTATATAAAAAGCTATCCAACGAGAATAAATTCATTACTCTCTAAAAGTCTGTATAAAGTTTTTAAAACACCAGGGGGCGGTTGCTGCAATGACATCTATGTGTTAATTTTACGTATTTATTTGTGGTAACTTGGGAAATCATGATCATCTCCTCTATCGAAGATCTATGATCAAGTGTGAAAGAATCGTCCTAATTTATGAGATTACCCGTGAGTTACCTATATATACATATGTCAGGTCTTAATGGCTGATCGTGGCCTAGTAGTTAAGCCTCGACTGTGAATCCGAAGGTTCACGGTTCGCGTCCCGTTGTTGTAAAAAACGTACTCCTTATTTTGGGGCACTGTTGGTATGCACTATATAAGAGTGAAAGTCAAATCCCACTATACGATTAAATAAAAGTAGGCGGTGGGTGCTGTTGATTAGCTGCCTTCCTTCTAGTCTCTCACTTCAAAATTAGGAACAGCTATGCGTAGGTCGCCCTTGTGTTGCTTTTCGCGAACATTTTAAACAAAGAGACAGCTGTTTGTTTTTAAGTCGTAACTCGCTGAATGATTTTGTGGACCTGCTTCCCCTATAATACAAATGTTTAAGCAGTTCTCGTGAGATGTGCTGGGCTGACTCATTATAAGTACAGGTAAAGACGTAAAGGTGTTGGAGGGGGAACTACATAAATCAACCAACAGCTTGTCAGTTGGTACAGATGTGTAGAAGCACAAGTTGAACACATTTACGAAAGGAAGAGGAGAAAAGGAAAACTAACACACATATGTATGTGTACTGCAAGATGACCTTGAAACTAATTTCTTTATCAAGTGACGTCATTAAAACGTGTCATAATTTGTTCATTCAGTCGAGAGTGATAGGACTGTTACAATTACCCAATTCTCTGAGCTCCTCAGTGAAAGCAATGGAGAAAATGTTATTTCAAGCGTGCTACACCTGCCTTATCCAGTGCTGACGAGGCCTTTCGACTAATACCAAGAATCATTAGGCTGGATCGAATTCGACAGACACAGTAGTGGTTGAGTATGGAGTCCCCCAATGGGACAATGGTAAGTTTACGGAGTTACAACGCTAAAATCCGAGGTTCGATTCCTCAAGGTGGACACAGAAGATAACCCATAATGGCTTAAAAACACACATAGCTTGAGTATGGAAGCATATTATGCTGATATATATATAAGCATAATGAAAAATAAATAACTTCATTATGCTTATATATATATAGTTTTTTGCCACCTTATTATGAAACATAATAGTGCTCTAGACACTTTATATATATATCATCAGTTTCGATGAACGACGACTGTTATTATTATTGCAAACAAATTTTATTCACCATTACCTGATGCACCTTGTTGCTACTGTCTGTCATGTCATACTAATTCTGGAGTCGGTGGTTGGAACGTGCAGAAGAAATACTGATTTGGTTTGTTTTGAATTTCGCGCAAAGCTACACGAGGGCTATCTGTGCTAGCCGTCCATAATGTAGCAGTGATAGACTAGAGGGAAGGCAACTAGTCATCAACACCCACCGCCAACTTTTGCGCTACCCTTCTACCAACGGATAGTGGGATTGGCCGTCACATTATAAAGCCCCCACGGCTGAAAGGGCGAGCATGTCTGATGGGACGGGGATTCGAGGCATACTGAATAATTAATGTATGCTCTCTTATTTCCTGATATTCGCGCAAAGCTACGCTCGAGAGCTATCTGCGCTAGCCGTTTTTAGTTTTGATCTGATAGACGAGAGGGAAGACGGCTGGTCAATAGCACACACCGCCAACTCTTGGACTACTTTTATCCAACCGAATAGTGGGATTTAACCGTCACCCGTATAGTTTACCCACTCGCCCAAAGTTTGGTT